GTCGACTATGAGCAGTGTTACTGATATACATCACCAGCCACATCAGAGCTGCTTTAACAGTTCAAAAGGAAGCTGTAATAGCCTGTGTGATTTTGTAAGCCGCAGTACAGTGAGTGCAACTGAAATATTTAAAACATTTCAACCCTGACGTTGTGTGAATGAATGAAAATAAGGGCTTTCAGCACCTTTCACTTCCACCACTTCATTCCTCAGTCCTGTAGACTGGAAAGACAAAGTGAATTAGACTCCTACTGACTTTGTGTATTATTGTGTGCATGCGTGTAGTTCTAGGGTCCACAGTGTTACATCATTTAATACTTTGGCTGACAAAAGTTACTCATTGTGTGTTTGCTTGTGTGCGTATGTTAGTTGTATTAGCACTGTGTGTACATGTTTGTGTGTGTATCCCAGCCGTCATTTAATCCATCTATCCTCAGATTGCTCCGCTCCCACCTTTTGCATCCACTCTGCCTCTCACAGACCAATCGCATTTCACATTCCTCCACCTTCCCAGGATCCCACTGACTTGGGGTGCATGACTGCAGGGTGTTACCATGGTGCTAGGGTGACGAGGTCACGCCCCTTTGGTACTTCAAGAGAGGGGGAGGAAGGACAAGTGTTACAACATTCTTCACACTGAAACATTAACATGTGTGCACTCCTTTTTATTAATTCGATGACATCTGAATGTGTCTGTCACAGTTAGTTAAAAGGAGGATCCAAATGCATGGAGCAAAATAATCCAGAAAGAATATTTAGCAAACTGTATTGTATACTCACTTTTATTCACTATTTTATTATTATATTCACTATTATGTGGACGGCAAAGTAAGTATTTCATTGTACAGGGAAATGCATTTCCTAACTGTGCATATGACAAACACTTTGACCTTTGACCTTTGTTAGAGGAGAAAATTATTTCCACAAAGCTACAGGTAAGAACAGAAACCAGGTAATTCAGTAGTTACATTTCCTCTGTAGTTACTATCCCCAAATGCTCTATCTGTACCTGTAAGGAGCCAACTAATAGAAATTACATATATATACTATGAATTTGCTAATTTTCAGTGGAACTGTACTGTAACTGCTTTCTGAATAAATTGTTATTGACATTGCAGACACTTGCTGTATGAACAATTTGGACTTGGTAAATATGCTCATTGACTGAACACACCTGATCCAGGTAATCAGCAGTGGTTAGGGCAGGGATAGTTGGAAGACAAGCGGGGCAGCGGTACTCTGGGATCCGGATTGGCCACCCTGGGATAGTTCAAGAGTGGTACTGACCCACATATTGAACAGCAATGTTTCAATAAAATGGATGCAATGCATGCTGTGATTCTTTAAGCTTACTTAGTTATGTTAACATTTGGCCTGAAAGTCTAGAGCATAAAAAATATTAATACCAGACCAACATTAATTTGTTTGGAGATTTTAAAAAATCCACAGCATTTAGATGTGTCTTGACATGTTGGACTGGTCTCATAGCATACGTTCTGTCTCAGTTATGGCTCTTCTTCGCTGCTTTCAAACATGATATCAACTCTTTTGCATGAGCATTACCAGTATAGAGTCATGGTCAGGATGTGTGTGCGTGCATTATGGAGACTTGGAGACTTATTTTCCTCAATCTGAACGCTGTCCTCTCTCTCTCTCTCTCTCTCACACACACACACACACACACACACTCACAGTAGTGTTGATTACCCATGTCCAAACACAGCATGTTCAATGAGGGTTAAGAGTAATTGGTTCCAGATTTTGTGTACATGTGTTTTGGCTTCTGCCTGTGCTGGTCCAAAGTGCAACACCAAGTGCAGCACTTAATTAACACATAGTTATTGATAATGGAGACTGATAGTGACCTGAAACAACAACTGATAATAATTCTAAAAAATAAGTATTTGTTGTTGTTTTTTATTTCCCTGTCTTCTTTATTCCCTCCTTGCTCTGTTTGTAAATGTATGTGGTGGATGTCTTTCCATATCATCTTATACTACACTGACGTTGCTGAATTTGACCTGTCATCATACAAACCAGAACACTGTACTTGTGCTAATATGTCATGGTTCACCTATGGAGCTACACTAAACTATATATATAAATTCCACTTTGGGAATCATGTTTGACTTTACCCAGACTTTAAACTGACCTTTGTTCCTTTTGTTAAGCTGTGACCTTCAGGCCTGCGGACACACACGTGTCAAAACAACATTTATCACCACCGAAATGGCTGCTATTCCCTGAGCTCTGTCTTCATTTGTTTTCATCCCTCCCTCCTGCCTTCATCTGCTCTCCCCTCCCTTGTGAGCTTCATCTCTTTTTTTTTGTTTGTTTTACTCACCCCTCAAACCTCTCTGACTTTCCCAAAAGTGTAACGCCAAATCTTGTGATTTTCATGTCAATAAACTTGACATGATACCAACTGCACAATATCACCCACCTATCTAGAGTGCACAAACAGTGTGCTCATTTTTCAAGAGTTTACCTATTAAATCTTTTGGCTTGAATGATATGTCTTAATGCATTAAAGCTGTCGGATCAGACCACCATGTCTCAACTAACAAAAAAGGCTTTTCAGTAAAATCCAAAGAAAATACTTGATTACTAAGGTTGCAGATTACAATCCAATGCTGCTTTTTCAGTTTTCCTCTTCTTCTTACTCTACCTCCATCATTTTAATACTTTTCATTTGTTCCAGTCATTTCTAAGGGGCTTCTTCCTCCAGTCTCAGCCTAATAGCCCTCCGCTTCTTTCCAGTTTACCTTTTTTGTTTTGCTACATCATGGTCTCCTTTTCCATTTCATTTCAGTGTCCCTTCCTTCTCATCATCCTCTCCTGCGGAATGATGGATGACGGGGTGATAAATCAGTAGAAGTAAAGAGGTGTGAAAGAACAACGTTGAGGGTCAGCACCTTTACATGACTCCCCCTAGGATTCATAGATTCACTATGGCATTAATGCAGCTCTTTTCCCCCCTCTTAGTAAGGCTTTCCTTAGTATTGGTACAATACCTCTATTCTCTTTTTTGGCTGGTTTTGGATTTTATATTTACCTGTTTTGCACAGATGTCAGAGATGTGACAGCTGCAGCCTCAGCTGAAAACCATTTTCTTGGAAATGGATGGTTTGATTACATTATCTACACGGTAAAGATTTTGTTTAGATTCAGTAAGCCAATCAATCCAGTGTTAGTTTAATAAATCACAGTACAAAATGCATGACGATAGATGAACAGAGATTTAAATCAAAGATGACCAGCACAAATTCCCTGGAAACAAAGAAATGTGGAGCAGCAGCAGCAGGTTCATATGTCCGACATCAGTTCTCTGCCTCGTGGGGCGTAAATCAGCTAAACTAATCATTGATTCAGGATGCTGGACCAACATCCCACAAAAATGCTTTCCAACTCTTTAACAAATTTCCCCCCAGGACAGATCAGCCTACACAGGGAAAGATGATTATGTTTCTGAAAGTGTGATTAATGCTCAGAATGTTCAAACATACACTGCAAATCACTCCTACAATCACTGTCCTGCAGGCTTGCAGCAGCGGGTGCTGTTTTGGTTACCAGGGAGTGTGCGTGTGTGCGTGTGGAGTGCACAATACAGTATATGGCGGTTAAGTGAAGGAGCAGGACAGGTGTTTTCATTTATGTCTAAAGATGGAAGAAAAAAAAACATGCAGAGTTTGATTCGTCTGTGGAAAGATTACGGTGAATAGCTTTTCTGTTTTTGTGTAAAATCAGATCCTCAGTAGAATCCACTGGGCTTATAAAAAGAACTGTGAGACTATCCTGCTCCTTTGAAATACAAATAAACACTCGGGGAGGTTTTGACCCTTCTGCAGTGTTGTATATAAAAGCTGGTGAGAGCTTAAAGGCAAATACCAGCTGAACTCAGAAAAGCACATACCAGCTTTAAAATGTGTTATTTCTGGGTCTTTGGGACAGATTGTTCAGCCTCTGTGAACATGAATGTATCTCCTCCAAAGCCACAGGACAGAGAAGAGGAGGGGAAAAAAATGAATGTCACAGAGATGCATAACCTGGAGCTGCTCTGCTGATGCTGAATGAGAGACTGTGGGAAAATCTTTACATTCTGTGGGCTTCTCGGTACAGCTGTGCTTTCACTTCAGAGACTTATCTTCAGAGAATCATCCTGTGGCCTGTCAGAGTCACCTCTTACAGAATTACCCTGTTCGCTGGGTAGATTTATACATATTGGGTGTGTGTAGATAGTGTACATAAACCCTAGTGAGCTCATGAATGAGTACTATTAAAAAAACATTATTCTCAGCAGAATGTGAACTATTATGTGGAAAACGGGTACCAAGGTGGGGGCCCTGTTAGTGTGTACAGTGTGTGTGTCACTTAGCAGAATATCTAAAAAAAAAAAGTGGAGTAATTTTTTCTTTTCTTTTTATTAGTTCTCCTGATGTAACATTTAATTTATTTAATGGGAAAAAATTCTGGCATGTGGTCTATTTTGAAGCAGATATGAATCCACATAACCATTATAATACTTCTACACACTTTTTATTATAATAATAACAAAATTAGGGGCAGTACATAGCTCATGCCAACTACTGCTGCAGTAGTTGGCAACCATTTCTCCAAATTCAAAAAGCTTTTCACCCTTTTCACCTTCGTAATTTCTTCAGTTAATTTCCTCCTTTCATATCTGTATGAACTTCGCTACACTGGGAAAACAGGCAGATCTGTCAGAACACATGCTTTGGAGCACAGAAGTGCCATACACAGAACTGACCCAAAGCCATCTGTTGTTGTTTTGTTTATATTTCTTCTTTTACTTTAGATCTATTGTGCCTTTGTATGTATATGTATATTTGAGTGCATAGTGGATCTACAGCTTGAACTGAGGTTGTGTGATCAGGCCTTAGTGACTAATGAGTTCATGTGAAACACCTTGTGTTCTTGTCTTTCTTTGCCCTGATTGCTCTTTACTGAGAGCCTGAGTGTCCAGCTATGTCTGCAGAACTGCTGGATCTGTAAGATGTGCTGACGATGGTCCTTTGATTTGTTTTTTGAAAGGCCTGGAATTAAGAGCATGGATTCTGTAAGAATTTTTAATTTTATTTCTTCTGTTAAAGGCTTGAAATTTCAGAGAATAAGGATAAAAACATTAACATTAATTTTACTCATTCATCATCTGCCATTTTGAAAATTACTGGAAGAACTTTATAGTCCCGTTTGTGTTGGCAGAACACTGTTTTCTGTTAGGGATTAGATTTCTTGTGAAATCTTACAATCTAAAATTCAATATAGAATACAAATGCAGCCAGCAACCTTCTCTGCTATGGTCCAAATTTTTGAGAAGCCCTTAAGCAAAGGTCTTCAGCTAACAGGCAAAAACATTGATTTTTAATGTACTCTACCATGACATTTGCTGTTGGGGTTTTTGGCACAACTAGTATGTTCTAAACAGTTGCCCTGTCAATCCAGGCAGTGTGCAGTGCTCAGTATTCATCTCTGAGCTGTGGAATGTGAAAGGAGTTTTTAGCTGGCCTTTCCCTTAAACTCCAGTGATGAGAAACCTTCCTGGGACAACAGACTCCCCGCTGAGCGAACCAAATCAGAGAATTCTATTACAGCTATAGTATATTTGTCTGTTAGCCAGGATGTGTGTTTTGAATTTTATACTGTGACAAAGAACGTTCTGGGAAAGTGGACATTTTGTCCAGTCCTTACGTTCTAACACACAATCAAAGGGCTGTTTTAGGGTTAAGACTTGGTTTTTGAGTTAGTGTTCAAATTAGGTTTATCTTAAGATTATTATCCTATTTTATGGTTCTGCGTTGAATCTACATAGAGCCTACACCGTAGGTTGCGTAAGTGGCCTACGCCACTGTGAGCATTTTATACTTGTGCGCAATGTCTTCATCACTCTGCAATTAAACCATCAAAACACTAGCTGGCAGATGGGGGGGGGTTCTTTGCCACTGCCCCAGGCTTCTTGGTAACTTCTTTGCAACTTCCATGCAATGGTGACTGAACTGAATGGATCATGTTGGAGTGGGAGCTAGTAAATGGCGAAGCTATGTTTGCTGAAATGACTGCAATACAAAAAAGAAAACCTAGGAGGTGATGGTTTGTATGACCACTGAACCATTCAAGGCAGAAGAAGGGTGAATTTTCAATCATTATCCAGCCACTGAGAAACATGGAAAGGAAATTTACTTCAGATCTCTTCAAATCTATATCACATCAGTGTATGCACAGTATACCTACAGACATTACTCACAGCAATGAGCTTCAGGGGGAAGTCAACAGAATGCAGGTAGCTACAAAGTAGCTTTAAGCACAGTGTTTTCCATAATGTCAGAGTTCTGTAAAGCTTTATGGATAGCACTGCAACAGCAGAGTTCCTTCAGATGCCCAATCTGAAGCTACTGCTGCTGATTTTTTGGCAACTATGAAACTTTCCAACCTACATAGATGGAAAGCACATGAACATCCAGGCACCACTGCATGCTGGGAGTGGCTACTAAAACTGCAAGGGCACACACTCCATTATCTTAATAACTACCTGCATTGCCAGATATCAATTTACCATGGTGGGATATAGGACGATACAGAATGAAAAGTGTAAGGGTTAGAGTAAGGGGCTGGGGTAAGCATTATGCCAGTGAGTGTCCTTACAAAAATAGCTGTATAAACGTGTGTGTGGCCCAAAATGGGGCCTTCCTCATGGGGAGTGGATGCTGGTCCCCACAAAATAAATCACTGACCTTTAGGGAGACGACTTGGTATGAGGTAATGTTAGGGTTCAGGGTTAGGGGTAAGGTTGGGGTTAGTCAAGTAGCAGTAATGGTTAAGGTAAATCTCCAGGAAATGAATAAGTCATTGTAAAGACCTGCTAAGTGACAAAAACAAGGCCATGTGTATGTGCATGTGTTTGTGTACAATTCACACAT